ACCCACGGGCGATGACGGGGCCCAGTACAAGGAACACATGCTGCAGTGCCGTCGGTGAAGTAGAGACCCTTGCACGTCAGGAGAAGAGCCGCGTGGCCGCCCACGTGGGCGGCAGTTTGTCAAGGTACGGCACGTCCGCGAGCAGCCTACGTCTCAGACTGCCACCAGCAAAATGCTGGGCCCGCGGGATCGTGCAGGCGGTAGGACCAGGCCAGCACTGAACACGGGGGGGGGGGGGGCCGCTGCGGCAGCGGCGTGTGCGCCATGGCGGCGCGCGGAGGGAGGGGGGGACAAGGTACGGGAGAGGAAGGGAAGAGGGCAGGGAGGAGGAGCGCCCAGCCTGTAGGGAGGTCCCCGCAGGCGGGGCGGCAGCCTGGGCGCCAGCGCCCGCCGAAGCTGGAGGCAGGCGGCCCGCGCAGCGTGCTGCTGCGGACGCCTGCGCACGCTGCCCGGGGAGGGCAGGGCAGGGCGGCTGGCGCCCGCCCTGCGGATGTCAACGCATTCGTGGTACAAGTGGTCCACGAGCTCCTCGCAGAAGGCGTCTTGCCCCTCAGGATTTGCGGGCCCCTCTCCCCGGTGCCTTGTCGTCCGCCCGTGGCGTCGCAGAGAGCGTTCCAGCCTTCGAGTGAATTCGCCACGCAGTCCCGGCGTTGGGCGCGCGCGTCTTCGCATCAACTGCGGCGCTGTCGCCCACGGTCTGCACGCGCTGTGGAAGCTGAGCGGTCGCCTGTTCAGCGCGCGCTGGGTCTGCGCTGCCGGCCGCTGCCTGGGCGCGGTCGCTCACGCGGGGCCCCCTCGTTGGAGTCTGCCTTGGCCTGCGGCCCCGGCGTCGGGCGAGCAGTCAACCTCGAACCCGCCGCTTCCAGCGCGGGCCCCCTTGCCTGGGGGCGACGGCGCGGCCGCGCCAGCGCCCCGGGTCGGGCGGGGCGCGCGGGCTGCAGCGCTGTCTGGCTGGGGCCCACGCCTCGCGGCGGATGCGACCCCTGCTGCACTGCTGCCCGCGCCCGGACGAAGGTGCTCTTGGGGCCCCCTGGTTGGGGCGGAGCTTCGGCCGCGGCGGCGGCGCCTTGCAGAGTCGCGCGGCGCCCAGGGCGAGTTCGGGCGCTCGGCCTGAGGGATTGGTGCCCGCATCTCGTTGTGGCTCGATTTCGCGCCGGCACTCGGGTCGACGCCGGGCGCGCAATATTCCAGCACGGGCGCCGTCAGACTCTGCATCCCCTGCGAGTCAAGGAAGCTCGCGAGGTGCTGCTGACTGCACCCGTTCGGGCCCCTGCCCGGATTCAGGCATGGATGGGAAGGGTTGGTCTGCAGGTAAGGCAGGCGGTCCAGTGATCGGCGAGAAAATCCTGCCTGTTGAGAGCGCGGCGCGCCGCGTGCGCGCGGCGACGAAGGCTACGAGGTGCATCAGGGCGGCCCGCCTTCCATCCCAGGGGCATCCAGTGGGCATCCCGTTGTCTGAGATGCCCTGGCCCGTAGGCGCTGCTTGGAAAGCCCTTGCAGTCGCCCCCTGTCCACGCCCGCGAGCCATGGGGCGTCGCGGGGTTCGTCGAAGTTCTGTCGATGATGCTGCAGCCCAGTCCACTGCCGCCAAGCCTTCTAAACGTCGTCGTGTAGCTCCCAGGCGCGTTGTACTATGGCGCGAGCGATGGTGTAACCTCATTTCCCTCCTTCGCGCTTGGGTCGACCTGCGCACTGGGGGGCGCGGCGGCCACTTCCCGCTCGACAAGGCCTGGACAGGGCGCGGGCGGCATACCGGGGAGGGAGGTCGAGGAACATCTTTTCGGCGTCAGTTTTGCCAGTCAGGGGGGGAGGGGGCACCGGCTCTGTCGCCAGGCGCTGGGTTGCGGTCGATCCACCTTGGTCGGGGACTCCTGTTCGCGGGGGCGCGGGCCTTGGCGCGGTCTGGCGTCTGTCGCCCAGGTCCTGTGGCGCGGCTGCGATGCCGCGGCGGGGCGCGGTCGGCGTCCTCAGATCGGCGGTTGCCCTGTTCGTTCCCCGTCTCTCCCCTGCTCCTTCTGCTGGCGGACAACGCAGCGGGCGATTTGGCGCGTGATGGTGGGTCATGGTCCCTGAGGTCGCGGCGATCATCTCCGGACCATCGTCTCCGTTCATGGGAGCGCGTTGGCTGGCCCCCGCGGTCGGACCCTCGCGAGGACGTCTGGTCGCGGCCCTGAGCCTTGCCCCCTCGGCCTTCGCGGGGCATTTCCCGCGAGCGAGGGGGGGCGGCTATGCGCGCGGGGGCGGGCCCCCCCTGAGCCAGCGGCGCGGGCGCGGTCAGGGCGCTCGTCGCGGCCTTGTCTTCGCCTCGCCAACTGCGTGGCGATGCGCTCTTTCGGCTCTCCCGGGTGGCTGGCCGCTGCTGGTTTGCTCTGGGCCATTGGACTGGGCCTCCTTGAAGACCCCAGGCGGGTCTGCAAGCGCCTCGCCCATCCTTTCCCAATCCTCGGCGTCGGCGAGCTGGGCGACGCCTCGCGCGGGCGCGGGGCGCATCCCCAGCAGC